CACACACACACACACACACACACACACACACACACACACACACACAAATACAAACTGCCTCTTCAGGACTGAACAAAAACAGCTACATTTTGAAAATGTTGCATCCAGCTTTACAAGCAAGCGAGGGAAAAAAAGGTTTTCTTTGTATCCAAGTGATAGTCAGCATGTTTACAGTCTAATCACCGCTCCTCACCTCCGTGTCAACAGGACGGCAACCAAGGTCGGCTGCGCACTTTCACTCACTTCTGTTTCTAAGCAACATTATCCAGAAGTGTGGCCTTGCTAAGAACTTCAACAGCATCACAGCGAGCTTTCAGATTACAGATAAAGCAACTCAGCAATGTGCATGTGTCTGCAAGAGTTTAGGCACTTACCTTTGAAGTGAGGAGTCAGGACAAGAGGTGAAGTGTGCGGCAGCCATGAGGAGGTGGGAGATTGGCAAGGAAAAGAAAAAAATATATATATATATATTAGTGGGGCTTCTTTTAACTCCGATTTTGTTTTACTATTGCTAATGATCAAATGATCAAATTTATAGGTAGGATTTTCAAATGAATGAGAGAAAGTCTTGAAAAGTCATAAGAACAGATGATAGAAATCCCAAGAATCATGTGTCTTTGCCTTTGATCCTTTATATTTTAATTAAAGTAGGAATTTGATGAAAAACTGAGACAAAGAGTGGGACAGGAAATGTTTACCCAGTCGCTGGATGCAAGCCACCTGCTCTCAAATTCCACTTCACACTTCAGACAACATAATATGGTTACAACTCAACCACACACACATTTACGTCTGCTGTAGGATACTGACCCACACTCCTCCAGAGCACGTCACACACCTGCCACAAATACTCCTCAACACTTCACACACACTCATCCCTGATGCTGGCTCCGTTGCACAGCAAACCGAGTGTCTGTAAAGTTTTTATTATCTGCATCTCTTTTCTTTCCCTAAGCTCGATAGAATTGACCCTGAAATCAAAATAAAGCTTTCATTTTTAATTTTTTTATTTATTTTGTTAAATAAAACTGGCTGAGAAATTCAAGCTAGTCCAAGTGTTGAAGAAGCGTTGTGCTTGTGTTGAAAATATTTATATTTTTGAAAATGTGGTTTTCTGAACAGCCTGTTGAATCACGAAAAATCTACAGTCAGGTTTTCTAAACTGTCTGAAGTTACTAGTTCAGACTGTTTTTATAACTTACGTTTATTAGATGGTAAAACATTGTTTGTAAATTAAACTGTCCAATCAGAGAGCTGAGCTTTAATTGTTATGTGACACAACTGCTGCTACACAAATGGACAACTTATATATTTTATATTTAATGGATTAAAAAAGACACTTTTTTCATCTTCAGCATCTTTACAAAGATTTTCATGAGAATAAGGCAGTTGCCTAATTTATATATATATTTTTAAATCAGTGTTGCACCTTTTTTAAATGCTGCACATCAAATTAATAGTATTGATTATTCTAAAGCCTCTTGGCTAATCTAAATAAAGCTCCTCAAACTAAAAGCATAGAACAAACCTGAAAACATAAAGAAAACTAAAACAAGGCGGAAAAAGCAGGAGTGATTGATGACAGACTGTCTGCGCACATCACATCAGAGCTGTTTCTGGAGCTGATGCTAACATCTGTAGCTTGAAACGAAATGCTGCTCTAGATCAATGTACTTTATTGCCACATATATTAGCAAAATTACTGTCAACACAAAGCTCAGTCATGTGCTGATGAGTTTTTTTTTGTTCAAAGACGAGAAAAGCTTTTGGTTTGTCACATGAGATTCAGCCTTAACGTTACGCTCAGAAGCCTCCTGCCTTTGTTTTAAAGCCACATTTAAATATTCACAAAGTTAGCCTGCATCACCGTGCTCATCCACAATCCTGTCACAGCAGATTTAAAGTGGATTCCGCTGTGGCTTGGAGATGGGAGAAGAAAAAAGCAGTTCGGAGGGGGGGTGGGGG